ATTTTGCAATTAATTTTGTAAAATACGATTATCGTTATATATTGATTAATTAATTATTTATTTATTTATTTTATATAACGCGAATATTTTTTTATGTTTTTAATTTAAAACATTTTTAAATTAAATATAAAACATATTGAAATTTAATTTTAAACATAATATCGTATTTCTAAAAACTGGTTAATTTTTTAAATATTACATTTCATTCGTATTCTTCGATACGAAAGATTTCGATTACTTTTTTTTTACGATTTTTAACCGAGTAAAATAAAAATGTGTGAATAATCGAACATAAGAATACGATAAAAAGAATTCTAACAATAAAACATTTGCCTCGTATTTTTCTTCATACCCTTTTTTTTTTTTTTTACGTCGAACCTTAATGCACTACGACATTACTTTGCATTTTAAACTTATATGTATATATATATGTATATGTATATAAGTCATGTAAATATATTATACTTATGTGTACGTTCTTATTTACTCATGAATATTTCCAACTTTCTTTTTATGATACGTAAAATTTTGCTTTTTTACTACTTTCAAGATTATACCATACGAACTGTGAAGAAATTTGTCGACGATAAGTTGTTGTAAATACATACATTTATATATATTACACACATATACATAAATATACATATATATATATATATATCATATGTAAAACATGGCATAAATTTAGCAACGTTGAAGCAACGTTTTTCATCTATAAACATTCAACGAGATTATTCAAGTAAAAATTATATAATTTTTCTTCTAAAACGTTTAGATAGATATATACAGGGTGAGTCACCAAATTCAATCAACTCGAATAATTTCTTAATTATGTGTACGTTGTATTAAAAAAAAAAAAAATACAAATTTATTTTTCCCTTTTTGATACCACGTAGAAATAATTTTTCGAAGTGAGATCAAGTTAGGTACTTCATTTTGTATACATACACGTATGTAATATATAATTCGATCAAGCAAGTATTTCCCATGTATTATCCAATTTCCGTGTCACTTGACAAACGTGATATACAAACATTGATTTAATTCGTTCAAATAATTCAACTCACTTGCTATACACATTAACGAAATGAACAAATTTTGTTAATAAAAATATATATCCCCATCGTATTTTACACATATGAAACATTTAAATGAAATTAAAACCATCCTGTGGTTGGCTATTATTTGACAATTAAATACTACGATGCAACCAACGAACATTTAAAAAGTTGATAACCCACTTTTAACTTTTCAATTATATTTATTTTATTTTGTTATATCCAAACCCAACTCGATAATAAAAGTCGACTCGACGAAAAGTTTCAAATTATTTTTCTTCATATTATATAAATCTATCGAACTAACACACAAAAGGAGAGTTTCTTTTTTTTCTCCCTTTAACAAATTTGCAAATTGCACTTGTATACTTTGGTAAAAGAAAATATTATCTTTTATTTACTAATAATATATTTGAATGAATTGTCGTGAATTATTAAAACACAATAGTATATGTAACTTTACAACAAGATCAAATGTAATACGCGTGTTTGTATAAATTTGTTATCATTGATTTGAAATTCCTCGTTTATTATTAAAATTTAAATTCAGGCATATTACAAAAAATTTAATCACAATCTTCTTATCGTGAATATACGAATAATAAAAATTACGCAAACAAAAAAACCAGAAGAAGAAAAATAATAGAGAGAGAGAAAGAGAGAGAAAGAGAGAGAGAGAGAGAGACAGGAAGAATTTTTTTTATAAATTGATGCATATATTATAAGAAAAATGAGAAAAAGTTTACGACGAAGAAGGAAGAA